TGGGGGGGGGGAAAAGCACAAAGGAGGACTGAAATGAGGGGGGAACTGGCTAGAAACAGGGACTACGGGCTGTGCAAAACATGATATGACATTAGCCACTCAGCTCAAGTCCAGACCACTTTACAGCTTATTCTGGACTAGAAGAGGCCATAAAGTTCTTCAACTGACCTTTTCAATTATGCCTCCTTGTCTTTGACATTAGAGAGAGAAACAAAAACACTGGCAAATGTAATCCGGTGAGATTTACGGTCAAAACAGCAGACGCTGTGACCTTCTCGTGTTTGTTTAGCTGGGAATTCTCACCCATCTCTGAACACGGCTGCCCTTCCAAACAGTGGAAAGTCTGGGCACCGAACCTCACGATAACGCTCAACCTTTCCACGCGGGTCCAAATGTGTGTGTGAATGAAAAACGCCCCACCAACTGTTTCTGGAGAGAAGATACCGTCCTTCAGGAAGTGTCTGTGTAAATCCCGAACTAAAGAGCTTCTCCATGCATGTCCTGTGTGACAAGACAACTACTGTAAAAGAGTGTAAAAACAGCAACAAGGAAGAGTAGGCTATTCAATAAAGGACTCATAAGGAAATCTAATTTATCTTAAGCATTAAATAAAAACACACTGTAAGTTTCAGAACTCAATGCCGTCCACAGTCCAAAAGGATTATAAAAAGTTCACTCACACTGCAAAAATGAGTTGATCTGAACTTCCAACTTGGTTACTTCATACAGATGAATGCATTAACACAGGAAGATCCATTTACACGCCTATTGTGCAATCGAAGGGTTGCATTTTTGGAAGGATCACACCGTTAGAAATATATAAATAATATACATTTCTAGTGTTGTATATGAATAAATAAAGAGAAATAAATGAAAAAAATTATAAGAAAATACATCATGAATAGAACAAAAAAATTAAAATATATAATATTAAAAATCAATTAAAAATACTTGAAAAAAATGCTAAATAATTGAAAATGAAAAACGAAAAAAGATCAAATGAAAAAATATATATTATAAATATATGATATGTATTTCTAACATTGTATATGAATAAATAAATACAAATGAAATAAAATATATTTAAATAGAAAGATTATATTTAATTAGAAAAATAAAATAAGAATAAATAAAAATGATAAAATAAATAAATGGACAAAAAATGCAATCTTTTTTCATTCAAATAAAAAAGCGAGAAAAAATTAAAATAAATAAAAATTGTTTCATACAACAACAAATTTGCAGCTGTATACAAACCATGCAAAGGGAGTGTTTCCTAAAGGCACAGCAGCAAAACAGGGCATAAAAAAAATAGTTTTCAGCACAAAAACAACAAATTTCAAGCCTTAGGGGAAAAATAAAGGTGCTAAAAATTCTTTAAAAAGTCCTTGTGAACTTTTTGTACTGACAAAGTTTGTCCTCCATCCAATCCTCTCCATCTTACGCACCTTCAGACCTGAATGCATGTTACTCCCACTGCCTCAGATGAACAGAGAAGTCTGATGCAGTGCATGGGTGACTGGTTATTAGGTCACTGCATTGACACGCCACGGCTCTCCAAAGACACATCAAGCTTGGGAAAATCTCTGCAACAGAAACACGTACAACAGGAAGTCCAGCCTGAAGCTTCCTCAGGCCCTCACACCTCAAATTTCATCACAAACGTGAACTTTGATGTCATTTATTTGCTCACAAACATACGTAACCGGGCAAGAACTGCAAGGAAATCAGATAAGGCGTTGTCATGACAATGTTTGCATGTATTTTGCAAACAACTGATTGCCAAATATGGAGGAAAAGTCCTGACCCCGACTGTACAGGTAACAGTAAGCACCGGTTCTGAGATTTAATATACGTTCATAATCTATTTCCAGGATTTACACAAGCACTGGCACGTAAAACAACAGTGACAGCGTGAGAAATCCCTTAAAGCCGTAAGAAATGCAGCCTGATGAATTTGGATCGGCTTCAAGAATGTCACAAACCAGCCAAAGGTGTTTGGCACCAAACACAAGCATTGTGAAGCTACATCTTAATATTTAAGCCTCTGGAATCCTGAAAATCTCCGGATTTCTAACTCTTAATGAACACAAGAATGCAATTAATGGTGCAACTTTCTCACGC